CTTCCCTACTTCTATCGCTGAAGCGGCTCGCTGCTCCGCTGCGCGCGCTCCCGCTGTCTCCTCTCTCCGCTTTGCCCTCCCTGCCCCCGGGCTCTCGCAGTTGTGCGGAGCCGCCGCGGAGCCTCCGCGCCCCCCGGGCGTTTCGGGGCTCCCCGCGGAGCGCGCGCGGACATCCCGGCCGGGCTTCTGGGCGGGAGAAGGCGAGTCGGGATGGGCAGAGCTTCCCAGGAGGAGCCCCAGGGGCAGCCCCCTCGGCGGCGGCGAGCGGCCCCCTTCCCTCTGCCCCCCGCGCAGCCCCGTGCCCGCAGTGCCCAAGTCGCGCCGCGCGCCAGCCCGCTGCTCCCGGCCTTGGGCTCCGCCGGACCTCTCCCTCCCCGCAGGTCCTTGGCCATGAACCCCATCCAGCGGCCTGAGATGTACATCATCGGGGCGCAGCCCGTGTGCAGCCAGCTGCCGGGGCTGTCCCCCGGGCAGCGCAAGCTCTGCCAGCTCTACCAGGAGCACATGGTGTTCATCGGCGAGGGCGCCCGCAGCGCCATCAAGGAGTGCCAGTACCAGTTTCGGCAGCGCAGGTGGAACTGCAGCACGGTGGACAACACCTCCGTCTTCGGCCGCGTCATGAAAATAGGTAGGAGCAGCCAGCGCTGCTGGCGGGTGTCAGGTGCCCAGCTCACCTCGGGCTTCCTCACTCTGTTCAGATACGCACGGAGGAGCGATGAGCTCCGGTAGTGCTGCTCCTGGAGCTCCCGTAAAGCAGCCTTCCCATTCCTGGGCAAGCTTGCGTGGCCCCCAGCGCTGCCCAGGCGCTGCCTGTGCACCTGAGCCACAGCAGGAGCCAGCAGAGACCCTGGTGGATTTTCCTTGGTGGGCAGGGGACAGGCCATGGGAAGGTCAGGAAGAGGGAGCTGCTTTTGTTTCCCCATGCTTGTTTGGACCCAGGAACAATGGCCCCACATTATCTTGCCCGGCATCTGGAGTGCCCTTGGACAGGGAATGCAGCCCTGAGACACTGGGGGGAAATATTGACTCCTTCATTTGGGATTCCCCCCTCCCAGCCCCACTTCTCTCTTTTCTGCTGCTTTCTGTGTAAACCTAAGAGATTTTTATAATTCCTGCCCTGCTGACCGTAAGCGGCGCATTGACAGGCCATTCCTGCACTTGAATTGAGGTGTGACCTAGCTGCATTGTCCCCGCTCCTTTTGAAATGCAATCATCTGATGGCAAGAAACTGAGAAATCCGGGCTTGGTTTGATGTGTCCGACAGCCAGGACAATAAAGAAAAGGTGTTAAAACTGCAGCTTACACACACGCTCACACACGCTGGCCCACACGCTCCACCCCCTGTGTGAAGAAGTTTTACTGCTCGCCCACAAAGCCGACCATTTAGCACTGAAGAATCCAAACCAGTGCTATCCCTCCGTGACGGGATCAGGGAAAACACTTAGCAGAGAGAGTGCTACCCCAGCTACCCCAGCATCGCCTACACTTTTCTTTTTTTTTTTCTTTTTTTGACTTCGCTCTCAAAAAACAGCACTGGGAGCAGGCACCAATCTTTCTATCTCTTCTCTTCTGGGGAACCAAGTCAGTAGGGTGTTTTGGATAACCAAGTCCCTTGATCCCTTCTACTTGAGGGCTTAGTGTAAAATGCTTAGGCATCATCCTGGGAAATTTTAATTATTCAGCCCATAAAATTCCCATTCCACCCTTTTTATCCATCTCTTCAGCTCATGCTGTAAGAAATGCTGTGTTTCTCTAGGGTGCTCCCTTGGGAAATTCCTTTTCCTGACACATACTTTCAGCTCCTGACACACGTCCAAAGCATCTGCGCATCCTTGATCTCTCGCTGTCTGATAGCAAGGGTGGTGGCCAGATGAGGCTACATACGGTCCCACATTGTGAAACTTGTGCTTCAGGGTATGAAAGCTGAGCGTTCAGCCACCAAATGGGAAAGGAGAAAGGCTGGAGCTGGGTAATGGCAGCAAATACCCCTCCATCTCTCCCATCTGGCATCCCCCTTCCGAAGCACAGCCTAAGCTTTCCAAAAAGGGGATAAAGTGAAGATTCCCAGAGATCCTAGTGACTCAACAAGGACATAAGAAAAGATGTTTTTCCCCTTCTGGGGTGAACCTTCTCCCCAGCTACTCTGGTGGAAGAGTCCAAACATGGAGAAGAAGTGAGGATGAGTTGAAGAGAAAGCAGAGATTGGAGGCAAAGGCGGACAGACAGACAGGATCGCTAGGAGTATGGGAAGAAGGGGACGGGAGAGAATAAAGGAAGAAGGAAGATTCCTCCTTTTTAAAATTACTTTGATCCTATTAACTTAAACCGAGAGTGGATTTGGATGAGGATAGGTGTTGTGGGTATGTGATGGGTAAGTCCAGTCGTCCTGTCGCTGTTTTCTGGGGGAGGTGGTGGTGGTTGTTTGTTGGAAACGCTGATGTGTCTCTACTAGGAATCTGCTGATGTCTGTGAAGTGGTTGCCGGCAGTTGCCTGCTATTTAAAAAGCTACCCTAACAAAAAGTGTTCAGACTGGCTCCATTAGATGCTCTGCTTTGGTCAGTTAGAGCGTGTTGAGAGAGGGATGTTTTTCCTCTAGTGCAAGACAATAGAGAGGACAAGCTAGAAAAATGTTGCCACAAGTAGCCTAGAGCATTAAAGGTTTTATGATGATTCATCACTGTTGTCTGTTTAAGTCAGTGATAAGTTGCTATAAAGGATGACTCTGCCTCTTTTCTCTTCGTTCTACCTTCAGGTTTTCTTTTTTTTTTCTTACTTTGTAATGGGGCATTGCTCATTACTTCAGCAAATCTATTTTCTGTGCTGGAGAAGAAACCATTTCAACCTCTTAGGTCACGTCAACTATAAAGTCCTTCTTCCCTAGGTTCACACTGTGTACCTGTCTCCTGCTTTCAACCTCTGAGCCCCAATTCTGGGTGACAGCCCTTTTTCTCTGTATTATTCCAATGGTGCAAAAAAAGAAAAAAGAACAAAAGGTCTGGAGAGCAGAGTATCTGCACGAGGGCAGGGGCATGCCAGGGTGTTGTGGAGAGGCAGAAAAGGAGATAAGAAGGACCCAGAACAGAAGGTGTTTAGTGTGCCAATAATTCTAGGCTGCCCACCCACATATGCCGGCATGGCACATATTATGGTATCCTACGTGATTTCTTGAGCTGTTTTTGATTAAGAGAGGGGGAAAAAGCCTGCTCCAGCCAAGTCCAAAACCTCATGAGGGTCTTCACTGGGAAACCTGGAAGCTTCTTTTCCTTTCACCCTCACAGATCAGGTGCTTGGTGGTCGGTCTGTGTTTAGTCATTGCGCTTTCATTTTGTGCATTTCATAGAGGTGAGGCAGCCTAATGGCACAGAGGTTTGGTAGTGTCATCTGTGGTAATTGAGTCAAATGCTTTTTAACATTTGTTTTTCCTAGTGTTTTTGTTATCGTGGGAATGGCTTTTAGGTTTGGAATGCAGTCTCTGGCTCATTCAAAAGCAGTATCTTATTGGTGACGTAAATAAAAATGGTCCTTCTGAAGTTGCTTCTTGCCCTATCGATACAGATTGCAGACTGTATATGTGTGTTTACATAGATTACATACAGAGATATATATACCTTAATTGCTCCTGCATGTCTGAAAGAGAGGGCAGAGACCCAGTCAGGTAGTGTTGGAATTTCCTTAGGAGAGGAGGGAATATATAGTTTATTCTGTAATCTCTTTCAGTACAATCCCAAATGCCAGACTGGGTTTTCCGGATTGGTCCAGCCATTTCTAGAGCAAATTATCTTACTTTTTTTCCCCCTCCTTTTCTAATGTTAAACAAAAAAAAAGGATAAAACTAATCATAAAATAAAAATAGAGATATTTTTCCCCCTCACTTTTCTTCAAGATCAGCAAGCTTTAGGAAAAGGTTTTATTATAAAAAATAATTTGAAACAAAGATGTTTGCATTAAAAAAATACAGATTTTTATCATCTTTACTTCAGTCTTCCCGCTGAGGTCAGTTCTGCTTTTATTTCTAGTTGGAGAAACAAGAACAAGCAGCCGGGGTCGCTGCCTCACCCGGGCAGGCCCCGGGGGGCTGCTGCAGCTCCCCGCAGCCCCGTGCTCCAGCCCTGCCTGGGGAGCCGGCGGGCGCAGGAGGGCAGCACTGCTCCGCGCAGGGCTCCGCTCCGGCCCCGCTGCCTCCCGCAGCCGCCACGGCCCCGCGCAGCAGCCCTGGCCGTCCCTAACGGCCCCCTGCCCGGGAGAGCCCGAGGGGGCTGCTCACAGACCGCTGTCACCTTGCTCGTGTTTGCACGTGTTTAGGGAATGCCACTGACCTGGCAGTTGAGGTGATACCACAGCCGTGCTCAGCTGGAGGGAATTTTGAGAAAAGCGGATGAGCTAAACCCGCAGTGCTCTTTCCTGGCTGGAAGGTGTGGTAGGAGAGCGGAAACAAGGCAGTGAGGAGACCAGCTCAAAACTAGGAGGTTGAAGTCCGTCTCAGCCTCTCCCACTGCCATCGTCTGCAGCATGAACCCCTTAAGGCCCCCAGGTGCACTGCGCTGTGCTGTGCCTACAGTTTGAAGTGTGGAGATGGTGAAAATAGAGGTAGTAAAAGCACAAATCCAGCTCGTACTCTCAGGATGCTGAGCACCTGGATTCATGCACTGTCTTTTGAACAAACTGGTCTTCTCCAACCATAATGATTCTTTGATTAGGAGGCCCTCTCCTTGTATGTGTTTTGAGCTCTCTCCATACAGGCAGCGTGGAAGGGGTAAGCTGCACATTAGCCCATCACCTTACAAGTATGTAACATGCACAGCAAGCAAGATGAGCAAAAGCTTGACACTGCTCACTGCAAAATGATTGCAACTCCCTTAGCAGGCAGTTTCAACTGAATTACCTCAACTAGGAGTCACTCACCTTACCTGTCATTCCAGGAAGGTTTTGGAGGGCCTTCCCTTATGACCTGCTATTCAGGTCATCCTTTCTATATTAGGGATCCCTTGTAGCAGCTCGATTGGCCTTGTGATCTTCTCCAGAGCAGCAGCTGTTTCGGCAGAAACCCTTAGTGTACAACCCTCATTTAGGCAAAGAGCAAAGCACTGACCGTTCTGCAAGGTGGGCAAGTGTTTGCAGTTGTCTTGGGTCAAGTACTGCTAAGCTGGTGATAAGCTGCTATTAATTGCAGATTGTCAGCTCATGCAAACTGGAACAAGAAAGCATCAGCTCAGTCCTGCTGAGGGAGCGGGCACTGAGATCCTGCTCGAGCACCGGGAGCAAACTGTTCTTGGAGGATCTGCCCTCCAAGGGCAGTCTTACTTGGTAGAGAGCGTGAGACAGGCATCTCTTTCTGGGGGTTGGTGCAAGTAACTCTTCACAGTCATACTGCTTATTCCAGCAAAGCCTTGGCAGTCATTCTCTTCATCATCCGAATTTTGATGACACACAGTGACCCACAAGGTGTTGGTGCAGTTATTTATTATGCTGTGCCGTTGCAGGTGTGGATTGCCTCGCTGCCTCCTTCTTTCCCCCCAGACCCACAGCCCTGGGTTGTGCAGCTCACTTGGCCTTATGTGGTGTTCTGGCTGCGGAGGTGCCCCGGTCAAAGTGGGGCTGAATCAGTGCCAGGAATACAGAGCTGGAGACT